ATTGGCCAGGAGAACGCAGTATGAGACACAAGCAAGCCCCCCCCCCCCCCCCAATACGCGCCTTTAAGAAAGGTCCCCCATTTAGATGAATCCAGCGCCAACGTTCAAGCAAGAAAGCGTCAGAACATTTGCATCTGAAAAACTCCCCCTCCCCCCCAAGCGCACAGTGAGGTCGATGCCACTCTCGCGGTACTTCTGTTTGAAACTTCTCGGTGTCTTCCATCTCTACCAAGTCCTGGAAAGCTGGAGTTTGGGGCTCAGGGTGTTGATGCCGTCATTTCATTAAACCCTCCTAGACCCGTAATCCCAAACTCCTAAATCCCTAAACTCTTTACAAACCCATAAACGGCCTACAACCTCTAAACCCAAGCTTTCCACGCACGTCCCCTTCCCACTCTCTGTCTCCCTTTCTCTCTCCCTCTCCCTCTCCCTCTCCCTCTCCCTCTCCCTCTCCCTCTCCCTCTCCCCCACTCTCTGGCTCCTTTATTCGCTCTTGCGACCACTCGATGAGCTCGCGTGCCGTGGGAAGGGCAACGCCAAGGGTCCTGCGGCTGGGCTTTGCTTTCATTGTTGTTCTTTTTGGGAGTTCGAGGTTTAGGGTTTTGGGTTTTTGTGGGGTTTCCGACATTGTAGGGTACCAAATTTTGCCCCTAGGGGTAGGAAGTTGCAAAAGGCGCCTTTCTTGAGTACTGCAAGTATACCTATGATCAGCGATGGCGAATGCCCATAGTGCCTCTACTTAAATCAAGCAAGGCTGCAAGCCAAACCCTAAACCCTAAACCCCAAACCCCAAACCCCAAACCCCAAACCCTAAACCCTAAACCCGTACAATCCGTTTATAACAAAAGAAACCTTCCTTGGAGCGAGGACTTGAATCCCTAAACCCGGCTTCTAACCCAGTCAGTTGCTCCAAACCCAAAACCCAAAAGGCCCTCAAACCCTAAATCCCAAACTCCTTCTTTGTCCAGCTGCCCCAATCCTTAAACCCCTAAACTCCCAAATCCTAAAACCCTAAACCCTAAACCCTAAACCCTAAACGTAGGATCCTCCAAGCCCCGAAGCCCTAAAGCTTGATGGGTTTAGGGTTTAGGGTTTGGGTTTAGGGTTTAGGGTTTAGGGTTTGGGGTTTAGGGTTTAGGGTTTGGGGTTTAGGGGAACCCTGAACCCTAAACCCATGAACCTCCGCAGCTAGACCTCTGTTGACCTTTGAAAACCCTCCTGAACATGATCCTAAACATGATCCCCTTAAGCCCAACAAGGGTAACTATCGTGGAATGTTCCCCCTGATACTAACAGTCCCTGATAGGGATTACAGTAGGGTGTACGATAAACCCTGTTCTACTATTTGCTTAAGAACCCCCAAAAGAAAAAATAGTAATCCCTATATTACCCTTATAAGGGAGAATACTTTTGACTTTTTGGGGGTTCTTCAGCAAGTAGTAATATTAAGGACTCTTAGTAATAAGGGGGGAACATCCCAAGTAATATCCAATATCCCAAGGGCCATGAACATCCGCGGCGAGCGGCTCTCCATTTCTTTCTCCTCCCTGAAATCACAGGGTTTAGCGTTTAGGGTTTAGGGTAGCCGACCCTAAACCCCCCAACCCCTAAACCCTTAACCAGCTAAACCAGCTAAACCCTAAACACCAAACAGAAACCCCCAACAAGCAGCTTCAGGCAAAGGAGGCAGTCAACCCCCAACCCCTAAACCCTACACGTTAAATCCTAAACCCTAAACCCACCAAACAGAAACGCCCCCAAAACAAACAGCTCAGGGCCAAAGGAGGCAGTCCTACTGAGCCCACCAGTCCACCCTCGCGTGGTGGAGTGCTCTGCTGCGAGGATCCAGCTGATGATGGAAAACTCCCCTGGGAGCTTTGATGATGTGCAACTTTTTGGGGTTTAGGGTTTAGGGTTTAGGGTTCAAGGTTTAAGTTTAAGGTTCAGGGTTTTGGCCTCAGCCCCCTGAGTTTTTTTTGGGGGGTTCATCGGCGAGGCAAGCGGGGCCATGAACTCTGAAGAAGCTACACCTGAAACTCTCCAGGATGCCCTTGCTAGCAAGCACCCCCCCCGGCTGGCCCCCTCATGTAAGGACCTGAATAGGGTTTAGGGTTTAGGGTTTAGGGTTTCGGGTTTTAGAGGGTTCAGGATGGGCATACCCATATTTGGGCTCAGGTCTAGGCTACCTGGGTGTTCACCAACCGGCCGCGCCTCTGCTAGACTGATGCTTGTGGTGCATCTGATCTGCACGAAGGATCACCTGGGAGCATCTGAAAACCAGACCCGAAATCTGGCAAAGAAACCGTGCAAGTTAGACCCAGGGAACCTCGTAAGCCTTTCAAAGCCTTGGAGCCCCCAAGGAAACCCACAAAGCCTAAGGGGCAGCATCGCCAATCGGGCTGGAGCTGGCAAGCGTTGCAGCTCTCATTGCCCGAAACCTTAAACTCCTCATACCACCCCACAACACGAAGGCTGGCAGAAAGCTCGCTCCCAAGCAGCTCTGCCCCAACAGGATTACTAGGCTTTAGGCTTCTATTTCCCGTCCGAAGCCCGATGAAGCCAGACAGTTCCTGAGGACACCACCAGCATATCAGGCTCTGTCCTGAGTGGGGGCGGGAAAGGGCGCCTTCTCCAAGACAATTCTGAGTTTAGGACTGAGGCTGTTCAGCACTGACAAAGAGGCTTGCGCTTTAGGGCTTCGGGAAAAAAAGGTTAGGGGTTTAGGGTTTGAGAGTTTAAGGTTAAGGGCTTTGGCCGTAAGCCGTCCTTTTCTCACCCCACCGCCCTTGTGGTCTGCAAGGTTTTCAGGGTTTCCTTTGTCACCTTTGTCTCACCCCACCGCCCTAACCCTAAACCCTAAACCCTAAACCCTAAACCCCTAAACCCCTAAACCCCTAAACCCCTAAACCTCTAAACCCCTAAACCCCTCAACCCCTAAACCCCTAAACCCCTAAACCCCGAAACCCCGAAACCCTAAACCGCTGCGGTTTTTTTTGCTCCCAGCACACCCCTAAACCCCTTAAAAGCCCTCGTAAGCTCCAGGCGAGATCTCAACAGCCTGGGAGTCCTCACGGGGCATCGTTACGAACAGCTCAGGGCGTTGACGTTGGGTTTAGGGTTTAGGGTTTAGGGTTTAGGGTTTAGGGTTTAGGGTTTAGGGTTTAGGGTTTAGGGTTTAGGGTTTAGGGTTTAGGGTTTAGGGTTTAGGGTTTAGGGTTTAGGGTTTAGGGTTCCCCTTATACTGACAGTCCTTATCAGGGATCATCGTACCCCTGATTATAATCCCCATTAAGGAGGGCTTTGGAGGGCTTTGGGGCCTTTTGGCGGCTTCTATGGGCTTCTATGCTTCTTAATGGGCTATGGGGATTAGGGCTTTGGAGCTTTAGGGGCTGTGTGGGCTTCTATGTGCCTTACGGGCTGTATGGGCTTTCTGGTCTGGGCCTTCAGGGTTTTGGGGTTTTAGGGCTTTAGGGGGTTTAGGGCTTGGGCTTAGGGTTTTTGGGCTTTACGTCTTTCCAAGTGACGATCACAGGCAAGCTTCTGGTAGCAGTTTAGGCCTTGCAGGGTTTAGGGTCATATGTAGGGCCTCCCATACAGTCGTAGTCTCAAAAGACGTCACTAGATTCAGAACAGGGTCCTAGCACGACCGCATAGCAATGCCGCGATTTTATTTACTAGTTCTTTTGTTTTTTTGTGTGTGCGGGGGCCTGACCCAATGTTTGAACACAATAAGAATACAAATAGACCTGGTCTGTGCCTCTGTTTCGGGGTTCGAAACTTCCCACCAGTTCAGGGTTCAGGGGCGTAGAGTTTACGTGGAGGATCGGGGAAGAGAGAGACTTGGTAGGTCCTTCCCGCAGCGCGCCCTTAAGTGAGCCTCGGCGAGGTCCCTCTCTCCCTCCGTCCCTCCCTCCCTCCCATGCACGGCCCAGAGGACGCCGAGTTTAAGCGTCCGTCCTCGTCAAAGGGCGTCAGCTCGAGCTGACCTCGGCCTGTGGTAGCAGACCCGAGATCCCAAACCTCCCAAGAAACCCTAACCCTAAACCCTAAACCCTAAACCCTAAACCCTAAACCCTAAACCGCAAGAACTCGCGGGAGCACCTTAAGGGGTTCGTAGGGGTGCTGATCCCCCCCAAAGATTATCGCGATTCTATCATTATGTTCATGGGGTGTAGGGTTAGAGTACTGTGGATTAGAGAAGCCGAGGCTCCCTATAAAGAAGAAGAAGAAGCTTTGTCCCCACGACCCCTACGGGAGCCAGAGGGAGGGAGAGAGACGGAGACAGAGAGAGAGAGAGAGAGGGAAAGAAAAGAGAGACAGAGAGACACGAAATGCAAACCTAACCCAGAATCAAACGACTCAAGTCAAGGATGTGTATACATATGTGTCCACTGAATGTACTTAAGAGCCTTACGAGAGTATGCATGTATCTATGTCCGCATGTATGCATGCATGATATAAATACACACATACATACATACATACACACACACAGCCACACACACACACATAGATATGTCCATACCAAAAAAGCAAAAATGTACACACAGATATGTGTATGTTTGAATGTGTGCACGTGTGTATATACACACACACACACACACACATACACATACACCTACACATATACATACACACATACATGCATACATGCATACGTACATACGTACATGCATACTTACTTACTTACATATATGCATACATGCACCCATGTGTGTGTATATGTATAGATAGATCGGTAGGTAGACAAACAGATACATACATACATACATACATACATACATACATACATACATACATACATACATACATACATAGTGCTCCCATATGTGTGCTGCCTGCAGATATGATATGCATTCTGACTGGCTGCTCTGTATGGCTCCTGCGATCACGGTTTCTGTTCTGATTTATCACATCACCTCAGGTTCCTGGCATAGTCTGCGCATCCCGTGCAACCGTACGACGCAAGCCGGATCATGCCAGAAAGAGTGCTAGCGGCTTCAGAAGCATCCATGAGAAAGCACCAGTATGTGGCTGGGACAAATCCACACACCTGCGAAGCGTGCCAGGCAAGCAATGAAACAGCACAGCGCAAGAAGTGCAACCGGGAGATTCAGCCAATACAAGAACCCACCAGCACTTGCGCTGGGTCTCTTCGAGGTGTAGTGCCACGTCTGACATAAGGTCGTCATCTGCAGACGCAGGAGGTTCGAGACGCAAGCAATGCTGCTGGTGATGGACGCGATGTTGACCACATACTTGTTGAAAGGACACGAGTCATATGTCAATGCGAAGATGGAAATCTGAAACCAAAAGCTCGGCAGTGCTTCTGCGACCACCTTGGGCAAAAAACTATGAAACCTGTCCACGACGGGATATAACTTCTCTTCCACGTCATGCTCTAGTTCTGCATGGAGCAGCTTATCAAAGACGTCATGTAGTATAAGCAAGCCACCAATGTCTGTAGTGTGCTTCCAATTGTACCACATTGCAAAAGCTGCGTCCTCATCGTCCTCTTCTTCGAATCTGTCGAATCGTCCTGCGTGTCGCTGGACGAGCCAACGCAAAGCAATCAGCTGGCACAGCATCGAGCCCAGAAGTATCGAGAAGAGAATACCGAGCAAACCCAATCGAGCAACGAGCCAGCCTGCTGGAGGCGCGTCCTCCCAGGCGGCCGTGAACTTTTCTTTAACTGGCCCTGTGTAAAGGCTATAGGCATTCGCAGCCGCCCAAGCGTCGAGAGCTGGATCAACTGCTTCCAATGTGCCCAACATACATGCCAGTCCACCCGATGTAGCCTAGGACATGGTTGGGATAGTATGGAAAATGTATATTTATATTCCTTATTGGGTTAAGTACCCTTAAACATGTAAAACGTTACCCAACTATGACAAAGCAACGCAACGCATCCCGCAGCGACCGTTCAAGTGAGACAGAGCGTCGATAGAGTGCTGCCACTTGCCCCTGGGTTGTCGCTTCAACCAGAAAACCAGCTTACCTGCCAGCCAATACTGGAAGCCAGTGGAGCAGACCAGCATTAGAACGAGGATCACTCCAGCAGCATGGTCGTTGCCTCTGCGAGAAACAACGAAGATCAGAGGCGCGCAGGCGAACTGTGCTAGTGCAATCATGATGCATTGGTCGTAAATTGGCCACAAGCCATCGCTGATGGAATGCTCAGTGGTATCAAGCAAGTTTTGCATCTCGCACATCTCACTTGGGTCTGCAACATCGGACTCAAGTTCTGCATTAAACACGGTCTCTTCACTCACGGATCGGCGAGACATGGCGGAAATGGATGCAAAGCTAACAATCAAACAGACAAGCTCAGCAAGCGTAATAACCCTAAGACTCCAATTAGCGTAATAACCCTAAGACTCCAATTAGCGTAATAACCCTAAGACTCCAATTAGCTCAAAGTAGGACTGTTTATAGACTTCATGCCCCAACATGGGATACTCTTTGCCCTAAACCCTAAACCCTAAACCCTAAACCCTAAACCCTAAACCTTTGTATACTTGGAGTCTTCGGGTCATGCAGAATGCCTTTGTAGCCGTTGGTTCTGAGGCCTCCCCAAGATCCTTCTAAGGTGTAAGCCCCAAAACCGAAACCCGACACCCCACACCTCAACCATTCCCTAAACCCTTAACCCCTAAACCCCTAACCCCTAAACTCTAAACCCTAAACACTAAACCCTCAACCCTGGGCCCAATGGACATTTGCGAGTAGAAGCCCGGATTGCTTAAGATGAACTGAGGGGCCTGACTAGTTAGAGTAGGGTTGTTGGGGTGTGCGAACCTGTGTTTATACTGGAACCCACAAAGGGATACCATTGCTGGCCATTCCGAGCTCATGGCAGCTTCCTTTTGTTTAAGATTTCGCTTTAGCCTTTTGTTTAAGATTTCGGTTTAGTATTTAAGGGGTCTTCTAGGGTTTAGGGCTTAGGTGTTTGGGGGTTTTGGCTTTGGGGGTTTGGTGGCGTAGGATTTAGAGCTTGAGATGTCTGGCTGTAGGGCGTGGGACTGTAGGTTCGTGGTTGAAAGAGCTGCGTTTAGGGGGCCGGAAACCCTGAACCCTCAGGGCCATCGCTCTAGATCGGGGGTCTGCTTGAGGTACTCAACTCCAAGCAAGATCATGAAGAACCTCCGACGGAGCACCCCCTAAACCCTAAACCCTAAACCCTAAACCCTAAACCCTAAACCCTAAACCCTAACCCTAAACGCTAAATCCCCAATTTTCAGAAGCACTAAGGGCTTAGAGGTTCAGGGTTGGGGGTTTGCATCGTTTGGGGGCCTGGAAGCAGCAGCAAAAGTTTCTTGAGCCGAGACATGGCTCGCACTTGGGCAGTTCTCTGAATTAGGGTTTAGGGCTTGGGGTTAAGGGTTTAGGGTACCTTTTTGTGTCCTTATTCTAAGGGTGTCGGGGACCTAAAACTGGACCCTAATTTAGAGACCTACCCACTTGGAGGATGAAAGGACTGCAAAGACAAAGATAAGTGTCTTGGGTTTCGGGCTTAGGGTCTACTCTGGCTTTAAGAAGGGGTTGCAACGCGTTACCCTTGCCCTTCCTGGCGTTACCATTGAGCATGACCGCCGTCCATGCCTGATGCTTCTGGCATCTTGAAAGAGCTGTGATGCACCAACCCCAAACCCTAAGCCCTAAGCCCTCAACCCTGAACAGATCTTTCTGTTATGAAGAGGTGCAAGAAAAGCAGCGACACCAGCTGAATCCGATGATCTGGCTCTGAACCAGCGAAATCCCCGACTCCCGAAGCCACAACCCTATCACCCAAGAAGGAAGGACAAAAGGGCCGCTGTACTTTGCTGACCAATTACTATGCCCTTGCCAGTCCAAGCGAAGAAGCAGAAAATCCAACCTACGCCTTCTGACGGGATAGGGCTCCCTGTATAGTTCGTTGGAGGTGACCTTTCCAACCCAAACCCTCCAAACCCTCAACCACAAACCCTGAAACCCTAAAGCCCTAAGCCAAAAACTCTGTGTAAAGTCGCAGCCTGCCTTCGCCGAAGAAGTACACTAGCCTCGACTTTTTGGGTTACTTGGCGTCAGGAGCTGCTTGGGTTTGAGGGTTTCGGGTCATGAGTAGTTCTAGCAGGGGTTGAGTTTATCTATTTTTATTGTTTTTTTTTTTTTTTTTGGGGGGGGGGGGGGGTGGGGGGGGGGGTGGGGTGGGGTGGGGTAGGGACTATAGGATTCTTTGATTGGTGCTCAAAACGCCGGTTATCCCAAACCCCCCAGAATCCCTGAAGCCCGAAATCCCAAAGGCCCGAAAAACCAACGCCCTACAGCCCGGGACCCCAAACCTAAAGGCCCCGAGAGCTCCCTGGTTCTTAGTTGGGAATGAGTTCATGAGGTAGGCCATGCACTCCCTTTAAAGGGTTTACAAAGGGGGATACAGGGTACTCTATTTCCTCACGCCCACCTAAGAGCCAGCAAAACCCCTCCCCAAAACATGCGGCCGGCAACCCAAACCCATAAAGCCCTGAAGCCCTCAAAGCACTAAACCCTAAAGCCCTAAAACCTCTAAATCCCTCAAAGCATCAACCCTGAAGCCCCAATACCCCCAAAGCCCTTGCCTCAAGGCCCTACACCCGAAAGCCTAAACCCTCAGGCCCTTAAAACCCTAAGCCCCAAACCCTAAGCCCCAACCCCTAAACCCTAAACCCTAAACCCTAAACCCTAAACCCTAAACCCTGAACCCTGAACCCTGAACCCTAAACCCTAAACCCCCCAAAAAAGGTGCAGGGGCCGCAGCATGAACCTGGCCCTGTTGAGCAGAGAAAGCCACGAGGTGCAGGACTCCTGGCAAGGCCCAGAGAGGGGATTTTGGGGACTTCTGGCCTTTTAGGTTTAGGCTTTAGGACTCTTCGTGTTTTCGGGCTTTAGGGTTTAGGGTTCTAGGTAGGGTTTTAGGGTTCAGGGTTTGAGCTTTTAGGGTTTGAGGGTTTAGGGCTCTGCAGATCCGCACGAAGCAGGAGCGTCGTTCGATGTGACGTGGTTGTCGAAGTCCGTCCACGCGGCTGATGTTCACGGCTGCTTCTGAGTCGCAGTATGTTTTTGGCATTAGCTGCACCAGACTCCAAAGACGTGCCCGACTACGAGGGCGTAGAGCTCGCTTTCTGCACTGCTCAGCGCAACCGCCTGCTGCAAGCGAGACCAAGCTTTGATGCATGCTCTTGTCGCGAGGACAAGCGAGCCCGTTGGAGGTGCATGAGTGTGCTATGAGAGCAGCTAGGGGTCTTGGGGTTTAGGGTTTAGGGGTTTAAGATTGTTTTTTCAGGTTTGCGGGCTTTAGGCTTTCGTCTTCTTCTTTGGGGTCTAGAAGGATGCGCTGCCTACATTCCTTTGGGAGTGGCGGCTGGCTCAAGCGGAGCCCAAAAGCAGCCTAAACCCACAATTCCTCTGAACATGCCGCTGCTTAGGGTTGAGGGCCGTCGGGAATCCCCCCTAAACCCTAAACCCTAAACCCTAAACCCTAAACCCTAAACCCTAAACCCTAAACCCTAAACCCCCAAATCCTAAACGGGGGAAGAGGGGTTTTGCAGTTCTCATGCCCGGCCTCGGTGAGCTCTGCGATCTCATCGGCGAAGTCGCCTCCGCAACGTATCGAGACGGACCCGGGGGCTTGCGTCTTCTCGGTGTTTGTCATAGGGAATTCTTAAGGGAGGGTTTAGGGTTTAGGGTTTGGTTTTGGGGTTTAGGGTTCTTAAGGGAGGGGGGGTTTATGGGAGGGTAGGTATCGCGGGAACCTTAAGGAAGCTTAGGGAGCCTTAGGGAGTAGCAGGGCGTATTCGGGAAGCTTGGGTCACATACCCCCCTCTTGAACCCCCACTCCCTTAAGAAGCCTATATGTCTAAGATAGACCCGGCTCCCGCGTTTTCAGTGTTTGCGGGGGCTTTCAAACTTTAGGGTTCGGGGGTGGAGATGTAGGCAGGTTCATGCCTACAGAGTCTTGAGAGCTTCGGGGGCGGAGGTGCATCCCCACGAAAAAATGCCTCCACACTTTAGTAAGACCCTGAACCCTAAACATGGATTCCGGAAGCGACCCACTCAAATGCGAGCTTCCCAAAAATTGGGCTCAAGTAGAACTCCCTGTGAAGAAGGAACGCTACTAAACCCAAGTACCCTACATGCCCGAAACACTCTGAACCCAGTGAATTTGCTCCGGAAAACTGCAGAGCATGACGACAAAAAGAGGGTCATTGGACTTGGCGCCTCCTCGGACTAGGTAGTCGCCAGACTTGGCCTAAGAGTGCGCAGGGAGTGGTCGTGATGTGGTTTTAGGGTTTAGGGTTGTGATGTGGTTTCAGGGTTTAGGGTTTAGGAATCATGGGTACGGTCTCTGGCTCTTTGTTCCCCATCGCCCCATTGGGGTTCCTGTTGACGGTACTTGTAGCCCTACTTTGTATAACTTCGCCGATCTTCGAAGAGGGCTTAGGGGTTAGGCTAAACCCTAAACCCTAAACCCTAAACCCTAAACCCTAAACCCTAAACCCTAAACCCTAAACCCTAAACCCTAAACCCTAAACCCTAAACCCTAAACCCTAAACCCTAAACCCTTCAAAGGCCGGTATTGCATTGTTAGGACACCCCCGCCACCCGCATCGGGATTTGTTCCAGCATCCCGTACACCTGGAACTTGGTATACAATTGAACTGTCACACCTAGAAGTAATACAGGTTTAGGGTTTTTTTGGGCTCAGGGTTTAGGGTTTAGGGCTAGGGTTTAGGGTTAGAGTTTAGGTTTTAGGGTTTGGGGGTTTGGGGGTTTCGGGTTTAGGGCATCACACCCAGAAGGACTACAGGGGCCTTAAGAATTAGAACAGGGTCTTCGGGGTCTGCAATAAGTACGTCGGGACCAGATGGGAATGCGATTAGTAACTAGCCCGACTCCTAGATTATAACCTCCGGTCCCATAGTTAAGCATGGAGGAATTTGAAAGCCATTCCTAAGCGGTGTCCGGTGAAGAGATGAACTCTGAATCTTGGCTGTTCACCTGCAAAGAGTCTTCTGAGGGTACGGGCGCAGTTGTCCAAGCCGTCGCTAGTGCAAACCGTGATGCTTGCTCCTGCAGCGCAAACCGAAAACCCTACACCCTATGGTTTCCGGTCGGGAGTTAGATGCATAAGGTATCCCAAATGAAACCCTTCAAAGGGGTTTCATAAGGGCTTATAGGGTGGCTAGTCATGTGCTTTGCTGGGCAACTTTTAGCGAAAACTTGATCGATCCTCGATCCCTGAGAATGCCAAAGAGGCAGCCAACACATGCAAGAGATCTAGGGTTCAGGGTTCAGGGTTTGCCAGTTTGGGCTGTTGAATCTCTGAACAAGGTTCGTGAATGAGGTATCTTAGATGAAACGCCAGACATGCTTTGGGGTTTGGGGCCTGGCTAGGTGATGGACGACAACTCGGGAATCGATAGGCTAGATGCTGGACATGCACGATACCGGCAGCCCAAAACCAACAAGGCTGGGGCAAAAGGCCAAAGCTACTGGTAGCTTTAGCTGGCTTGAGTTTAGTCTCTGCTTTAGCAGTATCACTCTGCAGGTTTAGTGTCTAGGGCTTGCCTATAGCCGACCTACGAGCCATAACCGACGAGACCAAATGCCCTTAGAGCTCAAACCCTGAACCTGAACCCTGCACCCTGAACCCTAAACCCCAAAACCCTGAACACCAAAACCCAATGAAAAAGCCTGGAAACCTTGACAGGAGCCCCAAAGACAAAGCCTGACCTCTACCCCCCAAACCCACTGGCTCTTGGTAGGGAATTGCGAATTCGGTACCTTATGTTCCCCTACATTTACCCTTCAAGGGATTACCATAAAGCCTCAAGTCCCTGTAGCTTGAAATTCTTCACGAGTTTCACAAAGAAACTTCCTCGAAACTTTCCTCGAAACTCCTCGAAACTTCCCCGGGCCTGAACCCTGAACAATCTCAAGCAACCCTAAGCCCTAAACCCTAAACCCCAAACCCTAAACCCTAAACCCTAAGCCCTAAGCCCTAAGCCCTAAACCCCCCCCCCCAAATCCCGGTACTCTTGTGCCTGCTATCTGGTGCACCCTGAATCCCTGAACCCTAAACCCTAAACCCTAAACCCAAAACCCAAAACCAAAATACCCTAACCCTAAGCCCCTTGTGCCTGCTATCTGGTGCAAGCGCTGGTTAAGCTTCGTTAACTCGGGCCCGACTTCGACATCCTGGGCAGGAAGCCACGTACTTGGATGTTTGCGGGTTTGGGTTTAGGGTTTAGGGTTTAGGGTTTAGGGTTTAGGGTTTAGGGTTTAGGGTTTAGGGTTTAGGGTTTAGGGTTTAGGGTTTAGGGTTGAGGGGTTGAGGGGTTGAGGGGTTGAGGGGTTGAGGGGTTGAGGGGTTTAGGGATTAGGGTTTAGTGTTTTGTGGGTTCAGGTTTTAGGGTTTAGGGGTTTAGGGTTTTGGGGGTTCAGGGTTTGCCCTAGAACCCTGAACACAAAGCTTCGGGGTTCGAGCTTCGCGGCCAGTTGTACATGCTTTTTCCCGGACGAGCGCGCTACGTGCGGCGCTGGGATTAGTAGGGAGAAGATAGGTTACAATGGGTTGCACTCTGGTTTTGGGTACTTACGCCACGAGTTAGAGTTTGGAACTGCTTTTGATCTGACTTGTTTGCCCACGACCCGAGGTGCAGTAGAATTAGCAGGGCCCCAAACCCTACACCCTAAACCCTAAACCCTAAACCCTAAACCCTAAACCCTAAACCCTAGCCCTAAACCCTAAACCCCTGAAGACCTTTAAAGCATCCCCGTGCCTCGTCGCCCTCATCCTCAGGCAGCTGGTCCAGGCGACAGTACTCGTTGGTGCCCTGGGCACTGTGTCCCTGAACCCTAAACCCAAAACCCTAAACCCTAAACCCTAAACCCTAGGGCGTAACATGGGGCGGCTGTATTGGGAGGTTCATGGGTGCTTTGGCTGCGTGTTAAAAAAAGCTGGGGTAACTGTGAATCGAATAAACTAGAACGTCAGGTACCAGCTTATGAACTACTCTAGACCCCCAAGTGCAGGGATGCATTCCTTCACTCTGAAGGTGGGGCACCGCGATTTCCCTTGTATGTCTGGCTACGTCCTAGAAGTATCACTGGGTTTTTTCTCGGGAAGGTCGGATAAAGGGCGGATTCACGGCCAAAAAAAACATTCACACGTCTCAATCCTAAGCCCCAAGACCGCAAACCCAAAATTGAACCCTGCTCCAAGTAGGACTATAAATCTACGGAACCCGAACCCTAAACCCTAAACCCTACACCCTAAACCCTAAACCCTAAACCCCAAACCGCAGTTCTTGGAGGCGCGTCTGTGGCGGCCTCGGGTCCCAGGAGTGCGTCGACGAGCTGCGCTGGTGGCCTAGGCTGAGTAGGGTTGAGTAGGGTTTAGGCTAACGGGGTTTAGGGTTTAGGGTTTAGGGTTGGGTTTAGGGCTTAGGGTCAGGAGTAAGCTTGATTAGGGTTTGGCAAGGTTTAGTAGGGCTTTCTAGAGTAGTTTAAGTAGGGTTAAGGAAATGCTTGGGCTCAGCAGGCTTTTCTAGGGCTTACTAGGGTTTAGCAGGGTATCGGGGTTCAGTGGGGTCGAGAAGAGTGTGGTAGGCTGGCAGGGTACCAGTTGTGGGCCTGGCTTTGTGCCCCCGTGGCTTTTTAGGGCTTTTGGCTTCAGAGGTGGCAGTCGTCTGCAAGCACCTCAACCATCCTGGTTTCGGAATGCGGTTTAGGGCTCGGGGTTTAGGTTTTAGGGTTCGGTTGCTGCGCAAGCTAAAGACACGCTTCTTAGGCCGCAATCTAAACTCGGCATGAAGGACGAGCTGAAGTCATCTTTCGGGCATGTATTTAGGCCTCACAAGTGCAAAAAGCGTTGGTCAACAACTAGCCCTCACCTCAAACACTGTAAGCCCTTAAAGAAGAGATTCCCTAGCCACTGGGGTTAGGGGAATCTTTGCATGAATCAAGTCGTACGATTTCATAAAGGTTGCTGTCGTCTGGGTGAGCGTTTCAGGTGGCAACTTTTTGCCGTCTGCAGGCTTGGGGAGACAGTATACCGCCGGGGATTCTGTCTTCACCATGGGGATGCCTTGAAAAGCTACTAACCCTAAACCCTAAAGCCCTAAACAACCCTAAACCCCAAACCCCAAACCCCAAACCCTAAACCCTAAACCCTAAACCCCAAAAAACATGAGAGCCAGGATCCCCAATAGGCCAGGCTCCCGGCGGCTGCATCTTTCCAGCTCTTTTCAGGTCGGTGGCTTCGTCGCTGGCCTAGAGGGCTTGCTCCCCCCCAATGCCCCAAGATGCCTAAATTTGGGGGTTTAGGGTTTAGGGTTTAGGGTTTAGGGTTTAGTGTTTAGTGTTTAGGGTGTCTAAATGGAAGGAGATAGCGGTCCCCTAGCACTCTTCTGCAAGAAAGGTGTGCCCCTTCTTTCTGTCCTTGCTTGTTTGGATAACCCCAAACCCCAAGCACCTTAACCCTGAACCCCTCAACTCCTCAACCCCAAACCCCTAAACCCTCGAAGCCCAAACCCTAAACCCCCGAAACCCGAAACCGCCTTGAAGCCTCAAACCCTAACCCCAAATCCCACAAACACCACCCTTTTCCTGTGACTGTGAGAAGCAACTCAAGACGGAGTTAATAGGGGCTTGACCTAAACTCTCGGCCCCCTTTGTGGGGAACCCTAAACCAGAAACCTTGAACCAGAAACCCTGAACCCTAAACCCCAAACCCATTCCAAGTGAAAGATGCCACCAACCCCGGCCTGCAAACTTGAAAAAAGAAGACCGGCGTGAGAAGGTGAAGGGGGGGCGCTCGGCGGCGAAGCTGGAAAAGAACGAAACCAAAGGTTGAAACAAGACACGTTTTTTTTGCGCACTTGGGGTTGGTAAGAGAGCCTTACCCTAGCTACAACAAAAAAGGAACAAGGTTACCTCTGAAACTTTTCCCAGCTGCTGGAGGATTGGACCCACTATTATCCAGATGGTCATGCCATCTCTCCCCAAAGCAACCTAAACCCTAAACCCTAAACCCTAAACCCTAAACCCTAAACCCCAAACCCCAAACCCCAAACCCCAAACCCTAAACCCTACCTTTCGCGCTCTTGGCATCCCCAGCGGCCTGTTCCAGCAAGTCTTCGTCCATGCCCAGCTTCAGGATGCAGTGCCCCTGGCTGACTCCCGGCTGCAAACAGCAGCTAGGGTATAGGGTTTAGGGTTTAGGGTTTAGGGTTTAGGGTTTAGGGTTTAGGGTTTAGGGTTTAGGGTTTAGGGTTTAGGGTTTAGGGTTTAGGGTTTAGGGTTTAGGGGTTAGGGTTTACGGTTTAGGGTTTAGGGTTTAGGGCTTGGGGCTCAAGGTACTTGGGGACTCATGGGGTCGTTCTAGGTGGGCTGGTAGGGTACCGGCAGGAATAGCTGCTTGGAACCTTTTTGAGGGTTCTCTAAACCCCTCATCCAAGCTCTCCTGTTTCGTCTTGAGAGTGTAGGGCGTTGCTGCTTTGGGACCTAGCCTCTGAACCCTGAACCTTGACATGTTCCCCTTATACTAACAGTTCTAAATAGGAATTATAAAAGGGGGGGGTACTATAATCCCTATTAAGGACTGTTAGTATAAGGGGCTAAACCCCTCAAAAGGACGGAGACTTTAGTTTGCCCCAGAATGTCTCAGGGGCTTTAGGGCTTGTGTGGTTGCTGCTATTTGGGGGGAGGAGTTGGGGGCGTTCGAGGCTTTAGGCTTTGCGGGGTTTGCTTTGTTGGGGGTGGCTTCAGGGCTTCGCGGTGGTGAGGCGGTTTTGACAGCTTGGAGGGTTGAGGTTGAGGGCGCCTCTTTGCGGGGTTGCGGGATTTGTTGTTCTTTAGGGTTTTGTGGGCATTTGGGTTCGGGGGCTTCAGTGCTTGCCGACCGCAGTCTGTAGGTAGCTTAGGACTTGGCAGCCAGCGGAGCTTGGGGCTTAAGGTTTGTAGGGCTGGACAATTTGGGCACCACCCGAGAAGCAACCACAGCCCGCACTGTTTCTAGCTTTGGGGGCCCCAGACGAGGAGCACATGAAGGAAACCAATTGCAAGTGTAAAGAGACCTTCAGGTACCAGCTGCCTGCACTTGTTTTGGCACGCCCAAACCCTAAACCCTAAACCCTAAACCCTAAACCCTAAACCCTAAACCCTAAACCCTAAACCCTAAGCCCTAAACCCTGAACCCTAAACCCTACAGGTAAAAGCCCCCAAAAGCCCCCAAAAGCCCCACTTCCTTTGTTGGGAAGCCTTGAAGCGGAGGGCATGGCTCAGCTCCGAGACCAGCTGCTCCTTCCGCATCCTTTGAGGACGAGGATTTGGGTTTAGGGTTTAGGGTTTAGGGTTTAGGGTTTAGGGTTTAGGGTTTAGGGTTTAGGGTTTAGGGTTTAGGGTTTAGGGTTTAGGGTTTGGGATCTAGGGTTCAGGGGTTCAGGGTTTAAGGGGCACACTGAGTTCTTCCTGGGGATGAAGGCTTAGAGCCCCTCTCTGAGGCCCCAGGATGACTGGCTGGCTCTTAGTAGGGAACGAGGGAAATCAGGTACCCTCCAGAAGCCCTTGAAGGGTATATGTAGTATATGTATGTATATACATATATATATATATGTATATATATATATACATATATATATATATATATATACATAGGGCCCTCATCATCCCTTAAAGGGTATATATATATATATATATAGGGCCCTTATAAATCCCTTAAAGGGTATACATGGGGCCCTAAGATGGCCCGCGTACGCACTTGCACGCTTGCGCTGGGCTTCCCGACTCGAGGTGACCCTAAACCCTAAACCCCAAACCCTAAACCTTAGTTGCTGAGTTCATAAGCCCAAAGAAGTGTGCACTTTCAGTTCTATCGGGGATTGTAGTATCCCAAAAAGTGAAATTGTACTCATTCAGCTACGAAAAAAACCCTAAACCCTAACCCTTGGCTCCCCGACTCCGGGTTCCGCTCGAGGTCGATGTCATAGCTCGGTGCGTCCTCGGGGGAGGGGGGGGGATTCATGGAGATTCGGGTTTTTGAGGCCTGAACCCTCAGCAGCCTTGAAAGAGTCCCCTCATTTAGCCCTTAGATGCCCAGGCAGGGGGGGTTCGGGCGCACACAGGGGGTTGAGGGGTTTAAGGGTTTAAGGGTTTGAGGTTTTGAGGGTTTGGAGATGAAGGTTCAAGCAGGAGCTTTCGAGGGGCCCTGATCCGAGCTGTGCTCCTTTTTTGGTTGGGGTTTCCTGCAATTTTTTTCTCGAAGGTGATGTAGGGATATCGGGCGATAGAAGGTGCCAAAGTTCGCTAATTCCCCCCCCCCCCCCCCCCCCCCCCCCCCCCCCCCCCCCCCGCCCGCCCCGCCCCTAGCTGCAGCAGACTGAGGTGCAGCAGATTGAAGCTGCAGCAGACAGGAGGTTGGCTGGGAGGATCTAAGTTTCCGACAAAGCCGACCATCTCGACTGCCTGGCCAGCGGAGCGCGCCAGGCAAAGTCCCAACCCTAAATCCCGGAAGTCCCCGAAGCATGCCTTGAGCCCAATCCCTGGGGTTTAGGGTTTAGGGTTTACCCTCAATCCCGCATATCCCGGGAAAGTCTACGATCGCCACGCCAGTCAAAGGGGTTGGGGCTGGAGGCCGTGCGGTCGCGAACATCAAATCTTCAGCCAAGCCCCCCAGCAGCAGCCAAGTTGTGTAAGCGCCTCTGGCCGGACCCCGAAACTCCAAAAACCTAAACCCCCCCCTCTCTCTTCCCCAAAAATCGAAGCGCTCTAAACCTCCTAAAAAACCCCCAACAACCCTCCACCCTAACCCTAAACCCTAAACCCTAAACCCTAAACCCTAAACCCTAAACCCTAAACCCTAAACCCTAAACCCTAAACCCTAAACCCTAAACCCTAAACCCTAAACCCTACCTCGGGGGGCGCCCCCTTGGCTTTGGGTCGGTTGGCCCCCTCAGCGGCCCATGGCACTGTGAGCCGAGCCGGCCGGCGGAGGGGTCCATGGGGCCAAAGCTCGGATTGTGGAGCTCTTAAGGGAGGGAGGGTTTAGGGTTTAGGGTTTAGGGTTTAGGGTTTAGGGTTTAGGGTTTAGGGTTTAGGGTTTAGGGTTTAGGGTTGAGGGTTTAGGGTTTAGGGTTTCGGGTTCAGGGTTTAGAATTTCGGGTTTCGGGTTAGGGTTCTAGGGCTTTAGGGTTTAGGGTTTCGGGTAGTTTCATGGGCCCTTAATATGGTCTCTGAACATGGGCCCTTGAATTGTATAGGGCATATAAAGGGTATATGAGGGGTACCATTTTAAGGGCCTATACTAAGGGACCATGAAACTACCCTTAGGGTGTCTGAGGGCCTTGAACTATAAACTTTTCTGAACTCGGTACCCTAGCGAATCTATATTTGTAGCTGTTCCTTAGCGCTTACAGTACAAGTACTTAGGTGTTTACGGGGGTTAGGAGTTTAGGGTTAGCGGTTGATTTAGGGTTAAGGGGTTTAGGGTTTTAGGGGTTTGGCCGTCTGTAGAACCAGTATTCTTAATGTTCCACTGGATTCAAAACAAGGGCCAAACAGGATACCAAAGACGTATAGTTAGGGCTGCTAAGGGGTTTGGTGGTGGCTGTGGGGTTTTTCAGGTTTCAGGGTCTTCGGGTTTGGGGGGTGTGGCGGGCTAGACCCGGGAGTAACCTAGCAATATAAGGGTACCCTTTTTGGTTTAAAGGGGTTTCTGAGGGAACCTAAACCCAAAAAACAAAAAATATGGGCCTACTCTGGGTCCCAGCAGGTTTGTGGGGGAGGGTTCAGGGTCTTACGGTCCAGGGAGGGTTTTTGGATGTCTTAGACAAAGGCAGTCCTAAACCCTAAACCCTACACCCTAAACCCTAGACCCTATACCCTGGACGCAGGCGTGGGCTTTTGCAGTCGAGGTCCATGTGAAACACTGGGTTCTGGCGGTTCGCACCAACACAGCAACAAGGCCCCAGCGACTCCTAAACCCTAAACCTAAACCCTAAACCCTTACTTTTCCTTTGGCCTTCGATCTCCTGATCAGTTCAGGGTCCTTTCTAGGGGGCGGGCGTTCGTGCCCCTCCCCCCCCTCCCCCCCCTCCCCCCCCCCCCTCCCCCCCCCTCCCCCCCCCCCCCCTCCCGCTCCCCCTCCCCCCCCCTCCCTCCCCCCCCCCCCTCCCCCCCCTCCCCCCCCATTCACCCCCCCCTCCCCCCCACCGTCCTACACCTTAACTCTCAAGGCTTAACCTCAACGCCGAAATCCGCAACCCTCCACCCAGAACTGGCCATCTCCTTCGGCAAAGCAGAGCCTCGTTGCTGGAAAATCTTCCGCGTAGCAGCTTGGCGGGGTTGGGGCTTCAGAACTCTAAACGGCATAGATATTGCTATAAAACACACACACACATACACATATATATATATATATATATATACATATAAATAAATAAATATACATAAACATAACATATATATATATATATTTAAATACATATATGTACACATGCTGTTCAGGGGCTCACAACGCACTGGCCATCACGGCACCTCTTTGTCCTCCGCAATGGCCTGTGCGAGCGAAAGGCTTCCAGAAGCGCCCCGAAATGAGGAGGATGATGTGGGTTCAGGGGTTTAAGGGTGGTTGGCTACCAGACCCTTGAAATACGGACACTGGCCTAGTCAGCCAAGAATTAAAGGCTTGGGGTAGCCAAGCAATACTTCTTCTTGCACGTGAAAATGGGTAACCATTCTTGTCTCAAGGGTTTATGAGGGAACCTCGCCCATAAGTAAAGGGAATGGGGTTAGCGTGCTGGTTGCTAGGTCCTTGAGTCATAAGAGAAGGAGTATCTTCACAAATTCGAATCAAACAGCCTAAGCCCTATAGGGTTTAGGGTTTAGGGTTTCGGGTTCAGGGTGTCGGTATTTTACAACACAGACCCTGAACTTTTGGGGGTTAGGACACCCTGGAGAACTGAAGGCCCAGAAATGGTCCTCCAGCTGCTCGTTGTGCGCTGCCAGCTGCTCCTCTGGAGCCGTTTTAGGGAACTGAGGTTTAGGGTTTTGGGTTTTAGGGCTTGGGACTTAGGGCCGAGGTTGGGTTTAGGGTTTAGGGTTTAGGGTTTAGGGTTGAGGGTTTAGGGGTTAGGATTTAGGAAGTCCTCTGTGAGGTCACCGGGAGCACGCTGAGGCACGTGGACCTCGAGGCTTCGAGGACTTCTTGGGGTTTAGGGTTTAGGGTTTAGCGTTTAGGGTTTGGGGTTTAGGGTTTAGGGTTTAGGGTTTGGGGTTTGGGGTTTAGGGTTTAGGGTTTAGGTTTAGGGTTTAGAATACCATTGCATGAGTTAACCTAGGCCAAGATAACAGGTGTTCGTATCACCCTTGCTATCCTGAAGTACTGTTGCTGGTCTTGTGGCTGCAAGCGCAGCACATCCGGAGGCAAACCCCAACACATCGCAGGAAGTGACATGCTTCTGAGGATGGCACCAACTTACAACTGACTGCAACGCCTACGGGGTTGAGGGCCCACGCCTGCTTCTGAGGGCGGCACGAATCTACACGTGTTGGAGTATCATACCATGTTGTATGATATGATAGCTTTCTCGATTACAACCGTGATCTTATCTGATCTTTGTATGGTACTCGGCTTCCGGTTGATGGCTAGTTTTTTGTAAAAAAAATTTTCGTTTCCCTGATTGGGTCTCAAGGCGGTCTTGAGTCGTTCGGGGCCCAACAAACTACATAAATATAAGGAGCCTACTATTGGGGTATCAGGGCCCCCTAGAAGGGGGATTCTGAATTCTGGACTAGAACGATACAAGGGCAGTTGCCAGGAGCTTGCTGTAGGAGACCCTCCTGTCCTGTGGCAGCAAAGTCCCAGCCGTAGTTCTGGGGCTTGGGGCTTACCTGGAGGCTCATGCATGACTTATTACAACTGGAGTTAAAACAACTAAGTACAGTTCCAAGGGATTAAAGCCTCGTTTAGGGAGCTTGTATGCCTAGGTACAACTACCAATGCTCTCCAATCACCATGGACTCAGGTCGAACTTTGTTGCTCCCAGAACCTACGGACATCTAAGACGTGTATGAAGTTCAACTGTTGCCTAAGTACGAAAAGCCTTCAACATAGGGCATAATCTTTAGGGGCGCCGCAGCGACCCGTTCTGGGTGCCCTGCCTGGCCCTTCGACGACTTGCTGCCGAAGCTGTTGTGTCCTTGGCCAAACCGACTCGAGGCTTGAAATTAAAGTGCCCCGTTACCCTTCGGGGGAGACGTGTAGCGTGACGATCTACTAAATGACTAGTACCACACAACAGCAACACCACCACCACCAGCACCAGGCACCACGACCACCATGACCACCACCACCACCACCGCCGCCGCCACCACCACCACCACCACCACCACCACCACCACCACCACCACCACCACCACCACATCCACATGTTGAATAAGCTCGCACACACTTAACGTTAACGACACTTTCGTCCACAAGACCCGGGCCCATGGACATCAGCGTGCCGAACTTCCCGCCGATGCCGGCGGCGACGCGGCCGCCCTGGACAAGGGCCGGCTGGGTTTAGGGTTTAGGGTTTAGGGTTTAGGGTTTAGGGTTTAGGGTTTAGGGTTTAGGGTTTCGGGTTTCGGGTTTCGGGTTTAGGCTTTGAGAGCTTCCTGGGCCCTGCGTGCTTTAGGGGGTAGGGAGTTTTTGGGGTTTCGCGATTTAAGGGAGGGCTGGACATCTTGGTACCCCAGGAACCATATTATGATAAGGGTACGCCTTTTTGGGGTTGCCTACTTGATACGGGAACCTTGAACCAAAAAACAGGCAACGGGGTGCCACTGGGCTGCCAAAAAAATCAACAAGATGAAGCACACCGAGTCCCAACACCTGATACACTGGGGTCAATCCCCGTCCACCACCCCACGCAACGTTGCACCCCCGAAGCGAAAGACACGAACAGGACATTGGCAATGAACTGCATAAATTGGGATGTTCCCCTTATACTAACAGTCCTAGGGATTCGAGTACCCCCCCCCCCCCCCCCCCCCCCCCCCCCCCAGTATAATCTCTACCAAGGGCTGTTGGGATAAGGGGGAACATCCCAATGTACAAACCAAGTGCCAGGAAACACTAGGGTTGAGAGAGAGACGACCCAACCAGCGATTCGGAGAAGGCCCAGGACAATAAGGATTCCCTTCCCATACTTAGGGTTTTGGTTTGTGTAGAATGCCTTTCAGCCGAATATAATCTGAACCAGTCGCCAAAGTTAAAGGCACTCTGGAAGGAGTTGCATTCTGGAAGCTAGTTGCCCTGAAGAGTTCCATTGCTCGATTCGCTCGGAGATGGCAGGATGGCTCTGACAACCCTCTGAAAACCTTTTCATGAATATGATCCTCTTAAACCCCAAAAGGGAGAATGTGAAACATGCAAACCCTCTGAAAACATATTCATGAATATGATCCTCTTACACCCCAAAAGGGAGAAAGTGAAATATCCAAAAGGCTTACCGAGAATGGTAGGTACGCAGGAGTTGCCTGGTCGAAGTGCTTGGCGGTGCCTTGTCCAAAGGGGGAATCAAGAAGGTCAGTGCCTCCTGAACCCTTAAAACCCTAAAGCCCTAAACCCTGGGTTTAGGGTTTAGGGTTTAGGGTTCAGCCTCCTAAACCCTTAAAACCCTAAAGCTCTAAACCCTCCACCCTTGACCCTGAAGCTGAAAGCCCTAGATGCCGAACCTCACATCTGCTTGAAGCTCTTCCCCAAGTTGTTAGGGCTCCCCAAAATTTCAGATTTAAAGGGACACGGGCTTCAAAGATCTTCGCCCTGGCAAGATTCTGTCCTTGATTTTCGGTGTGCCAAGCGGGGTCATCGCAATTGCAAACCCTGAGCCCTTTCTAGGGGCTCTGGGCGAATTTGCAGGAAACCTAGCCCTAAACCCTAAACCCTAAACCCTAAACCCTAAACCCTAAAACCCTAAACCCTAAACCCCAAACCCCAAACCTTGACTGGAAAGTCCGAGCCGCGCATCTTGGATGTGGTGCCAACCGGGGCAGCCTCCGCACCGGGGCATCTCTTCGGGTTTTTGGGGTTCCTCAGCCCTTAGTGTTTGGGATTTAGGGTTTAGGGCCAGGGTTTAGGGTTTAGGGTTTAGGGTTTAGGGCTTAGGGCTAGAGTTTAGGGTTTAGGGTTTAGGGCTAGGGTTCAGGATTTAGGGTTTAGGGCTAGGGTTTAGGGTTTAGGGCTAGGGCTTAGGGCGCAACTACCCTGAGATGCTGGGTGGGGCTCAGAAATCTCCAGCAAACCGGTTCTGAGGGGCCCTTGCAAAAGTAAACACCAAAAGCTCTACACCAAACCCGAGAGACTAACCTTAGACCCAAAACGTTACAGTACCAACCCTAAGCCAGAAACTCCCGAAACCCTAAACCCTAACAACCAAACCTAACTAGTCAACAACCCTAGACAACAAATATCCCGAAATGCCCTACATATCCCTAAACCCTAACACCCCCAAAAACACGAAACCCCGAAATTCCCAAACACCCTACAGCCCTAAAGCCCAAAACCCCTCAACCCCTATATCCTTTAACCCCAAATCGCCCTAAAGCCTTAAAGCCTTAAAACCCCAAAAGGCCACCGACAAACTCCAAACCCCGAAAGTTCTAAGCCCCTAAACCCCTCAAAGCCGTAAAGCCCCGGAACCCCGACATTCCTCAAAAACCCTAAATTCTCTGAAGCCCCGCAACTCCTAAAACGCCCTACACCCCAAACCCTAAAACCCTTTGAAGCCCTCCCTGAACCCCAAACCCTAAACCCTAAACCCTAAACCCTAAACCCTAAACCCTAAACCCTAAACCCTAAACCCTAAACCCTAAACCCTAAACCCATCAACGAAAACACACAGCCCCCTGCCTCGAGCTGCGAGCCTCTGAGCCGACCCTCGTGGTGTGAAGACCGGGCCTGGCACCACTTGGAGGTTTGGGGTTTAAGAAACAGGAAGGGTTTAGGGTTTAGGGTTTAGGGTTCAGGGTTCAGGGTTTAGGGTTTAGGGTTTAGGGTTTAGGGTTTAGGTTTTAGGGTTTGGGGTTGAGGGTTTAGGGTTGAGGGTTTAGGGAAAGGGTTTAGGGTAGCTTGCTCAGCTTAGAATTTTTTGGGGTCGCTTGTTGGGGGCTTAGGGTTTTTGTTGGGGGTTTAGGGGTGGGGTTTAGGAGTTTGGAGTTATGGGCTTTGGGGTGGAGTGCTGTTGGAGCGTGTTTAACGGTCATTTTGGGAGTTTTCAGTTTGTGCTGTGGTTGCAGGGCTTCAAGCTTGTGCTTCAGGGCTGAACTCTAAACCCCAAACCCTAAATCCGAAACACGAAGCCCGAAACCCTGCGGAGGGTTTAGAGCTTTTGGGTTCAGGGTTCAGGGTTGAAGGCCCCCTGCTGCCCCCCCCCCCCCACCTGCGATCGTGGGTCAGCGAAGCCACTGAAGCACTCCCCGTGGTATCTGAGCCCAAGGGCTGGTGGGCTTTGCCCGAAAACCTTGCTAAGCCCTCCAATCTCTTTAAACCCTCAACAACATACCACACACCCCTCTAAACCCGAACCCTGAAGCCTTGAACACGAACTCCCTCCACGGCCCTCAACCCCTGTAAAGAGGTTTAGGGTTTAGCGTTTCAGGTTCAGGGTTCAAGGGATTTGAAAAAGAGGCAGCAGGAGTCCACCAGTTCAGGTGCCTGTGTTCGCTGGCTCCTGCTTGGCTTGTCTCGGGTAGTGTTCCGTCCGCACATCTGTGCACTCTTGCGCTGACCCAGGCTACACAGCTAGCCCAGAACCCTCAACCCCGAACCCTAATAAATCCAGTCGGCTGCAGCCCGCTATGACCTCACCGAAAACCCGTAAACCGCTAAGTCCAATCCGCAACTCCTATACCCCAAACCCCAAAACCGAAATGCCAAACCCTAAGCCTAAGCCCCAAAAACCCCAAGCCCTATACCCTAAACATACCCAACTTTAAGCCCCAAACGCTCAAACCCCCTAAGCCCCAAACCCAATGCAGCTGCATCCCTAAACCCGAAAACCCTAAACTTTACACCCCAAACCCTTTAAAACCCCCTTAAACCCTAAACCCTAAACCCTAAGCCCTAAGCCCTAAGCCCGAAGCCCTAAGCCCTAAGCCCTAAACCCTAAACCCTAAACCCTAAACCCTACCCTGGCGCCTCATGGAGACGCGGCCTCCCCGGCGCTCGGTGAGGGCGGCACCGATCCTTTCAAGAAACGGGAAGGGTTTAGGGTTTAGGGTTTAGGGTTTAGGGTTTAGGGTTTAGGGTTTAGGGTTTAGGGTTTAGGGTTTAGGGTTTAGGGTTTAGGGTTTAGGGTTTAGGTTAGGGTTTAGGGTTTAGGGTTTAGGGTTTAGGGTTTAGGGTTTAGGGTTTAGGGTTTAGGGTTTAGGGTTTAGGGTTTCGGGTTTCGGGTTTAGGGTTTAGGGTTTAGGGCTTCGGGTTTAGGGTTTAGGGTTTTAGGGTTTAGGGTTTTAGGGTTTAGGGTTTAGGGTTTTAGGGTTTAGGGTTTAGGGTTCAGGGTTCAGGGTTCAGATGAGGTTGTTTTGGGGGTTCAGAGGTTTCTGATACTTGGGTTCAGTGCTTTTAGTCGGGTTTTTGGGGTTCTTCGGCTTCATAGGGCTTTATAGGGCTTTAGGGTTCGCAGGTTCATAGTTTCGGCGGCTGGGTGCTCGGGGGCGGACAGACCTTTCCCTGGGTTTGATGTGTTTGGATAGAGGTTTGCCGGTCTTTGGGGCAGAATGTGTTTTGTATAGGGCTTCGAGCTCTTTTTCGCACGGTTGAGTAGAGAATGGGGCTGGATTTGTAGGGCTTGCAGGGCTTTGTGGCGCTTATAGGTTTGAAACGGCGTTTCAGTGAACCTGGCAAGGGGGGGGTGAGCGGGTGGGGAATCGGAGAGAGGTGCGCTTTGCTTGGCAAAGTGTCAGTGTGTTTTAGTTTCGGCCTAAGGAACTTGAGGCGCGTCTCTCGTGTGCTGACTTTGCCGCGTTAGCATGCAACCCCAGGATTTCGGATTTCGCGTCCAGGGCTCCCTAAACCCCCAAGCCCGAAACCACAGGGGGTGTAGGCCCTAAACCCTAAACCCTAAACCCTAAACCCTAAACCCTAAACCCTAAACCCTAACCCTAAACCCTAAACCCTAACCCTAAACCCTAAGCCCTAAACCCTAAGCCCTAAGCCCTAAACCCTAAACCCCAAACCCTAAACCCTAAACCCCAAACCCTAAACCGCCAGGAGCCCCACACCCTGAAGCCTGAGGTTGTTCTCAGAGGCCGGCGAGCGAAACGCTTCTTTGCACTCGAAGCACTTGTGACCCAAGTCCTTCTTCTCAACCTGTGCGACGTTCAAGGTTGAGGGTTTAGGGTTTAGGGTTTAGGGTTTAGGGGACCATGAGACTTTAGGCAACTTAGGTGCTGTAGGGTTAAATGGTTTGGGTTTAAGGTTTCGGACTTCAGGCAACTTAGGTGCTTTGGGGTTTAGGTTTAGGGTTGTTGGTGTCAGTTTTGTTTTTTCACAAAGCT